AGCCTTTTGGTTTACGCGTCACTTGCTCGTTAAATAGTGAAATTAATTACAGACAACATTATATATATATATATATATATATATAATATATACATGCAGATATATATATATACTTTAACTCAGAGTACGTCTCCATACTCTCTTGGAAAATATATGAGCACACACGGGTTCCAGCGAACGATGCCGTTTGAACTACACAGGCACCGCGACAATCTGCAAAAGAACTTTGTTCTTAATCTTTCGGAATAGAAGGCAGAGTTCTCAAGCCCCATACGAGTCNTTGTTAGCGTCGCACCAAGTGACCACCAAGACGTCACTCAAAGCCCGTATCGCTCAGCTTCTTCTCCACGTCCACAGGTGTTAGCTTGGAGGGGCATTCTCCCTTCAAGAAAGATGATGCATCAAGGGAAGTCCCGTAGATTCCGGCTCCCCAAGTGGCCCCGTGTCCGGTTAAAGTCATGAAGAAATATAAGTCTGCTTGGAGGATGTGGTGGTACTACTGAGTTTCTATGACTCACCAGAGTTTCACATCATCAGCGTTAATCAAACAGGAAGTCACCAATTAGGAAGACAGGTCATTTAGATAAACTGAACCCTGGCAGCCGGACAAAAAAGTGATGACTGTGCAACCCTTACCGTGAAAGTTCAATCGATGAGAAAATACTCATTTCGGGGCGTTTAATTATTTGAAGATGATAGACGATTGGGCACCCATGAACTTTTCACACCTTAGATTGGTGAAAATCCGTCTGTGAATAGGCGTTTTGAGTCACCTTGTTCAGTTTGTAACTTCCGTCATACCGGAAAAGAGCCCTTCAACACGTGGCGAAATTTACGATCATCTTGGCATTTTGGCACGTAGCGTCTGCGGAGGTTTGAATGCCTTCCCTAAGCCGTTTCCTATTTCACACCATTGACCAGGCTAGCTATAGACCGCATAGGCACTATCCCGCCCACGGAAGGGGCTTCGATTGAGTATTTTCTCAGTTTGTTTTCCGGACACTGAGTCAAGAATGTGATCTAGAACAGTGCGTGGCTCCGCGCTGCAACGGTACCGCAAGAACAGATAGGTGGTGGGTAGGGGATGACCTCAACATCTGGTCTCGGAAACAGAATCAACTCGAGAATCGATCCGTGGGAGGCGTTGATCTTCGTGGGTTCCCAAGCCTGATGTGCGACCAGATCATGAACAAATTCGAGTAACCCCTTGGTAAGTCGGTCCACTCTCAGCAGGCAACGACCTTCGACCCAGTTGATGCGTGGTAGATTGGAGTAGCTCAAGTCCATGTGGTGGTCACCGCATGCCCAAATTTATATATTGTCCATCATATTCAGGGTGTGGGATTCGTGCCCGAAGTAGAAAACATAAACATGCTGATTAACCGTGAGTTAAATGTGAATCAGTAGAAGCGATAGTTTCGACTGATAGTGAGACGCTTGCAATCTAATCGTCAAACTCGGCGAACAACCAACTGCAAGTAACAGAACAATAAGCAATTGAGTTCAGGTAGAGTAATAATGCGATTTTTGCTTACCGCAAGCAACTTCCAACTCTTCTATACTGACAACATTTACGTCACTCAATGTCATATCCCGTAGTGTCTCCAACCAGTGACAATCCTCACCTCTGAACCCGAGTCTAAACTCCAGGATACCCTAAGGGAAGCCAACCTCCAACCCCTGTGCGCTACGTTATAAATCGCCCACCTAGCTGTTTCTTCTAATCGGATCAGCAATTAAAACAGGGTATTCATGGGACATTCCAGCCACCTCAGACACATTGAAATGATCCCATTTAAATACAGACTAAAACACGTTTGATTTGATTATCATTATCGATGAGACCACCAAAGCGACCGATGCTTGTCGGAAACAAATAATCTGTTATCATGGTCTACTCTAAAATGGTGAGTATTATATATATATATATATATATGTATATATATATATATACCGACTACATGAGTTGGTATCAACTACCCGCAGTTTCAGTAGTAGCTGAAAGGTTAATGATGAGAAGCCAGACTAAAATCAATTAGTCTACATATTAAAAGATAATAAAGACTGCATATAACTTTGGAGTCATCCCTATCCCTACTGTGTAAACATAGCTGGATTTCAATTCCATTGAAACGCTCTACCACTCCGTTATTGCTGAGTGGAATTTAGGTAACTGTCCTGTTTCTTTAAATTGCTTAACAAGGAAGCTTTATTCGTAGTGCATCCAACTATAGAGCCTCGCGCTAAGGTAAATATAACAACTAATACTGCCCTTTAGTTTTTGTTCGTTTTCTGTTGGACAGCAACAGAAACCGCATTCAGTACATCAGGCGGATATTTTTGTAGGGATTCAAGCTTGAACGAAAAGAATTTTCTATTCACAAGAATTCTTATTCTTACCAAATCTGCATCAGGATACCAATTGGACGAACGAGCATGCTTAGATGGTGAGGGTGTATCTGAAGCGTTTTCTTCATCTAATGCTGGAATACGGTCCACTTGATGTGTCTCATTACTCTCGTCTGTTCCCTCGCGATCATCTTCAACGTCTTCTTCTTCCTCCTCATTCTCATCTCCGTTTTCATCCTCCGTAATTTCCTCATCAGATGACTTTGAAGTGTGTTGCTCGCGTAAGTTGTCGATCAAGGGGGAGCTTGGCGGAGACATGAGCGTATCATTAATTATCATGGAACATTCCTCCAGTCCAGCTTGGCTCGGAAATCGTGGGTCTTCTTGGTGAATTTTGCTGCGGAAAAAAGCAATTATTCTTTTCTCTTTTTCTCGTGTTTGATAATATATAGTTTACAAATTGGAATGCGTCGTACTTGAGATCAAGAGAAAATTATCCAGGCGGTTTGGGCGCATTGTGGTTTGTCACCCTCAATGGATGGCGTCAATCAGGAGACACGTAAATGTACATTGCTAATAACCAAATCATTAAAACAAACTCTTTTACTACAAAACTGTGCCAACGTGAGTGAAACTTATGATCGATCTAACCATGACAACCAGTAGTCTAAAAACCAAAATATTTAGTAGCAGATTTCACAGACACGACACCAAGACCGACAATGGTGAAGGATGTAAGGTTTTAAAAAAGCAGACAGGCACTCAATGGTTGCCCTAGACTTGAGTACGATGGTCTGGCTGTATCCCTTAATATGGCTGCTGATCCGGTCAAACTTTTAAGAGTGCACCAGTTCGTCAAGCCTCCAGTTCGCTTAAACGAGACCAGTTAAGATGGTCATCTGCAGGTCACTGTCTCTTATTGCAAAGAACAGCTAGACCGATGGTGATGTGGTAGGTGAAACTCCCTGCGCGCTTAGACCTTGAGTCAGGAAGTATGAACTTATTCTCTGTAAAGGATGAAGTCACTAAACACTGAAGCGTAAAAATCAGGCCCGCAGTTCGTATACTGTCTATCCCGAAGGATCACCGCAGTGACAGTCTTGAACGTCTTCACACATGTACCTTCTCCACATTCGGGTCTTGTTGTTTCACCAGAGAAAGGCCAGCTGGTCGGTCCCGGCAGGTTGACTTTCACTTCTTGCACTCTTACGCTTCCCCTTCTCTGACTTCATCGAAGTTTACCATTCTCCTTTATAGAGAATAAGTTTGTAATTCCTGACCCAAGGTCTACATGCGCGGGGAGTTTCAATTACCACATCGCTTGTGTTTATCTGGTAAAACAGCATGGCCCGAATATGGGAAAGGTACATGTACGGAAAGGGTTGATGCTTCCACTACATCACAAATATATGGAATCCATCGATTGCGAATTTAGCGGAAAGCGCAAATGATAGAATCTGAAATGTTCAGCCAAACTGACTCTTTACCGATAGTTGGAAGGACATCCATCTGGGACCTTGACATTCGCGATTGATTATGACGCTGACACGGGGGCACGCCATTCTAACTCTAATTCACAAGCTGACTTAATAGCAAAGATATTGTTGATAAACACTGATTCCCTACTGATTGCATTTGCAATTAGGTGGCTTTATACTGAAACATGAAAACAAGCACAAGGGCTGATGAATCTTCCAACTGACCAGCACAACCAGTAACAATCTAGCATGTGCATGTTAGCGACTTACTTGCCCTGGGGATCAACCGTCGAAACTACCAGAAGCACCTGTTTATTAAATGTGGACTTATTTAGTGCACATTAGGCGTTACCTTCTCCAAACCACGTAGGAACTTGTCAGGCCTTGTATAATGACGGAATGGATTTTCGAGAAGCTCACAGAGACGCTGGATTGTAAACGGAATTCTACAAAATCTGAAAAGAATAGAAAACTCACCCATCGAGGCGCTTTAGAGTGTTATACACCCGCTGTCGCAACTCAGCAACTGCAGACGGGTTGGGTGTAATTTGTAGAAACTCGGAAGAATAATCAGCAAGAAAATTGTCCATTATCTTGTTGTACTTGTGAAGCATCAAGGGCTTAACATATATCCACGGTAACCTGAAGCAATTATTAACACCCGACAGGAAACCATACATCGTCTGTCCATTCTTAGCAACTTGTTTGATATAATCATCGAGTATGGGAGGGATGTTGGCTGACTTGTCTTTCTCGAAACCTAATGCCGAAGCAAATAAAAATCGAGTATTAGCACATACACTTTAGGGCACAGAGGATGCTCTCCTTATTTTCCATTGGTAAGAGCGTCATGCGTCCGAATCTACGACGGATTTTGCGGGTGGTCAAAAGCTGAAGTCACAATCTACAAGGTCATGAAATTCCAAGGTCAGGTCAGTCAGTCAGGTCAGGTCAGTTCAGTTCAGTTCAGTTGCACAGGACGAATATGGCTCTTGCCAATCGAGCGTCCAGTTCGTTGTGTTGTCGGCGGATGG